TTACGAATGCAGCTGGGGCCGTGTGTGTGTGTGTTTGTGTGTGTGTGTGTGTGTGTGTGTAGGGTGGGTTTGGGGGAAAGTTTCTCTACATTTTCAAGGGCAGCAAGAAAATGTAGAGAAGTCATTTCAATCTACACTGTGAATGTGGGTCTTAAGAGAGCCTCGACTGACGGAGGGCAGGAGTGGGTGGGGAGGGGGTCATTTAGCTTGGACCTCATGTGCTGCGTGTGACGGTGGCACTCACCAGTCCCCGAAACCCCCTGTGCTCCATTGGGCTCATGGCTGCGCTTGCCACTCATTCCCAGGGGCAATGATGGGCCGGTATCCAGTTCTGTGGTCTTCATAGCCAGCTGGACTGGTGTCCCTTCCGTGCCACGGGAGTCTTCTGAGCCAGACCCCTCCTCAGCTGTGCCACGATGAGGCGTTGCCATTGTGGGTCCGCGGTGCCCTTTCTGGCCCTCTTGCTCCGTCCCCAGGGGGATCGGTGACATTCTCCGTTGTGAGTCCTTGGCGAGTTTTGCTTCTGCATTCGAGTCCCCTTGCAAGTTGCAACCGACTCCTACGTGGGACACATGCTGAAAGCTCTGGACACCGACCTCCACCGTTTCGACGTGGCTGCCCACAGCCTGGCACCTGGTGGACGTCACGGCCTCCACGCAGGCTTCAGCCGTCTCCGGACAGGCTAAGGTCGCTCGGCTGACCAGGCTGCCTGGCCTGCGGGAGCAAACCTCCACCCTCAACTCCTCCAGTTCCTCGGTGGCCGCCTTGAGGTTCCCCTCCAGCATGGCGATGACGGCCTGTTGATGCTGGACTCTCTGCTGCACCAGCTGCATCTCCTCCTCTGCGGCCGACGAGACCCCAAGGAAGGACTCCATCACCCACACCTCTGCGTCGCAGGTCTCCGTCTCGAACCCAACGGCCACTTCCCGGCACGGCCTTTGGCTCCGGTAGTAGCAAACGACGTCACTCATGTCTCCCTCCTCTCCGACTCCGACGGACCTCTGGCTGGGCTGCTCTGCTCTTGAGGGCCGCCCCCCTCCTCTGCTCTTCCCAGGCCTCTCTGGACCGGTCAGCCTCTCGGTCAGTTTCTTCAGCTCTGCAATCTTACTTGTCCTTCCTTTGGTCGCCTCTCCCTCACTCTCAAGATGGGGCCCTCCTCTGTCCAGACAAGCAGCCCCATTTTTGAGGGCTTGTCTTGGGGGGAAGCGGAAGACGCCCGTCTCATCGACTTCAACCTCCCCCTTCTCCCCCAAGCCAGCCGCCATCTGCTCCTTCTCCCGCTTCAGCTGGCAGATCTGCTCCTCCAGGAGGGGGATCATCTTCACCTGCTCCTCCAGCTCCTTTAGCTGTTTAAGGGCAGCAGCCATCTGCTCCCGGACATGATGGAGGTGCGCGGGGCTGACGGCTGGAACCGGGGTGCTCCTTCCTGAATTGGGGGGGCTTGTCTTCACGGACTCAGCCTGGCTGTCCCCGGAGAGAGAGGACGCGGAGTTGGGGGGACACGCGCTGCTTTTGGAAGTGCTGTCCGTCCTCTTGGGCACCGCAGGCCCCCCACCGGTCAGCAAACTCAGCTGTGCCTCCTCCAGCCGCCTGCTGGTCTCCAGCAAGGTGGTCTCCACCCGGCGGCCTCTCCCCACGGAATCAGGAGACGCTGGAGGGAGACGTTGGGCGGCGGGCGCAGGAGATGTTGGGAAGGAGCCGTCTTTGCCGGCGAGGTCCTTGGTTCCGTAGGAAGCCGTTCGGGGCCGTGGGGAGAAGGGGGGCTTCCCGTCCTCGCTGGTGGTGGAGGACAGGGACTCGGTAGAGGCCCAGCCCCCCATTGGGCTGCGGGGGTCACTCTGGGATTGCTTGAACCCCTTCGCTTTGCGGTGGAGGGGCAGCTTCCGGAGGGTCTGGCCCCTCTCAATGTCGTCCACATACTTGAGGAAGTCCAGATCCAGCAGGAAGCCGTAGGGGGTTTCCACCGAGTAAGGCATCTTCTCCCTGCCCTGCTCCTGATCCGGGTGCGAGAAAGGACGAGCCACACCTGGAAGCCAAAGGAAGACAGCATGAATACTTGGGGGGTACCTGCGCATTGTGTCTTTGGGGGGAAGGCATGTCCTGTCATGGAAGGACTTTGGATGACCTTCTCCCCCTTCAGAAAGAGACTAGGCAGCCATTTACCTGAAACTGTATAGCCCCCCCCCCCGTAGCCCCCCCTTAAGCCGCAGACAGCCCCTTTCTGAACTTCCGGTAGGCCTGGCAGGCCCGTTTTCCCCCCTCCCCACCCTTCGGAGGCTGTCCCGAGGCCTGGGGATGGGCGAAAACGGCCCTCTGGAGGCCGTTGGAAGGCTGAAATTAGGAAGGGCGGTGCGCTGCAGCTGACCCAGGGCGACGGCTCTTGAGTCCTCAGGGATGGCTCCTCGTGCCACCTGTGTCACGCGTGTCATAGGTTCGCCACCACGGGTGTAGGGTCTCCTATGTATGCTCAAGCGAGGGGTTGGACTAGAAGACCTCCACGGTCCCTTCCAACTGTCTTCTTTGTCCTTTACTGCTCTTTTGGGGAGTTCCTGGAACCCCCAAGCTCTGACCCAGGCTGATTCAACGGTTGGGGTCGTCCTGCAGGTGGAAGCAGGGGGGTGTGTGTCCCAGAATTTGCACGGCCAAGAGGCCTGGGCCCCCTCAGAGGCCGGGTTCCTGTTTGAACCGTCCTTTAGACAAAGGCAAGAAAGTTCTGAACGTCTGGGATGATGTCCTACAATGCAGGTAGGTTCAGGCATATTCAGGCGTAGAATATAGGAAGGGACCTTGGAGGTCTTCTAGTCCAGCCCCCTGCTCAGGCACCTGGGCAAGATGCGATGAAAGCCCCGCCCTCTTTTCACACCACATGGAGAAAGAGGGTCCATCACACGGCTCCCCCCCGGCCCTCTTCCCTTTTTGCACCCCCCTCCCCTTCTCCGCACCTGCTCGGTTGGAGAGGATGTCAGCTTTCCCAGGTAGAGCAGGCAGGAAACAAGCCCCCCCCCCCAGCTCATTTCACTTTATCCTAAGGCTGCTTTCCAAGTTAAAAGTACAAACCACTCTCTTTTTAACACTTAGGGAGTCTTCCTTCCTTCCTTCCTTCCTTCCTTCCTTCCTCTTTCCTCCCTCCTTTCCTTCCTTTCTTCCTCCTTCCTTTCCTCCTCCCTCCTTTTCTTCCTTCTTTCCTTCCTTCCTTCCTTCCCTCCTTCCTTCCTCTTTCCTCCTTCCTTTCCTTCCTTCCTTCTTTCCTTCCTTCTCTTCTCCTCCTTCCTTTCTTCTTTCCTTCCTTCCTTCCCTCCCTCCTTCCTTTCCTTTCCTTCCTTCCTTCCTTCCTTCCTCCTTCCTTTCCTCCTCCCTCCTTTTCTTCCTTTCTTCTTTCCTTCCTTCCTTCCCTCCCTCCTTCCTTTCCTTCCTCCCTCCCTCCCTCCCTCCCTTCCTCCCTCCCTCCCTCCCTCCCTCCCTCCTCTTTCTCTCCCTCTCTCTTCCCCACATACCATTTTGGAGGAAGATCCAGTCTTTCAGCCCAAGGGATGGCTTGAACATCCCTTGAGCCCCCCCTGGCTGGCCCTGTCAGGTGCCCCAAGCCCTCCATGCCCCCCAGAGACCAAAACCCAGACCCTGCTCTGCCTGGCGGAAGCACCTGCAGGAGAGAGAGGGCCATGGAGCCCCCCTGCTCAGGGACAGGACTGGGGCCAGGGAGGCCAGAGTCCGGCCCTCGGCTGCTGCCCACCTCCCATTCCCCTTCCGGTTGGAAGTCTGTCTTCCGATATCTCAGGGGCTGCCCCAAAGAAGAGGGAGTCAAGCTGTTCTCCAAAGCACCCGAGGGCAGGACAAGAAGCAATGGGTGGAAACTAATCAAGGAGAGAGGAAACTTGGAAATGAGAAATTTCCTGACAGTGAGAACAGTTAATTAGTGGAACAAACTTGCCTCCAGAAGTTGTGAATGCCCCAACACTGGAAGTCTTTAAGAAGAGGTTGGACATCCATTTGTCTAAAGTGGTGTAGGGTTTCCTGCCTAAGCAGGGGGCTGGACTAGAAGACCTCCAAGGTCCCTTCCAACTCTGCTATTCTAATTCTAAAGCAGCTGGCAAAGCCCCCCCCCCTCTTGTTACCTGTGGAGCCGTGATCCAGGTGTGGCACCCGGGCCATTCCTGCTTCCGGGGTCCCCCGAAGCCCAGCTCTGCCCAAGGGAGGGAGGGGTCAGCCTGCAGAGAAAGAACACCGGAGTTGGAAAAATCGGGTTGGCCGCGTGACAACCTGCTTAATGACCGGCGTGGTTTATGACCGTAAATCTGGGCCGAATTACGGCGGTTACGTTGAGGGCGTGGCTCCTGTTGATCCCAGCACCAGAGATGGGAAAATGAGGACGTGAGGCTGAATGGGGGTCGTCAGCCCCACCGAGTCTGCGGAGGAGACCCGGAGGGTTTGAATGACAGAATGACAGAGCTGGACGGGACCTCAGAGGTCTTCTAGTCCAACCCCCTGCTCAGGAAGGAGACCCCGGACCACTGGTGGCTAACCTTTTTGTTACCGTGTGCCAGATGTGCAATCCGTGTGCAGCCATAATTCAATGCACATCCTCCCCCCCCCACAGTTTCTCAGCAGAAAAGGAGGGAAGGCGGGGGAGGGGAAGTGGCCAAGGTGGATTGAACAAGCCACGAGGGATCCCCCCCCTCTAAGAAGTTTGGTATGTATTTATATTTATTTTGAAAAATGTATTGGTTTTGGGGGGTAACTCTAAGCGGCTTACATTCTTAAAAAGATATATTTATGTTACCCTGTATTGTTATGTTATATCGTTATGTTAATTATATGTGATTGATATGATGTTATATATATATATATATAGCTTGAAATAGATCTATACTAGTCTCCCTTCATTTATTTATCAGCACAAATGCAACACAAAAATGGATTTTCTGCCTGGAAGGCTCCTCGGGTGGAGCTGAAAGGCAAAAGGGAAGCAGGAGGCCCCCTCCCATGTTTGGGCACACCAGGTGCTTTGACGTAACACACACACACACACACACACACACTATATCATGACATGACAATACTATACTATACATTATATTAATATTATACTGATATTATTTTATATATTATATTAATTATTGTATTGCATTGTATTGTATTATTATATTATATTATATTATATTATATTATATTAATTATATTATATTAATTATATTATATTATATTATATTATATTATATTATATTATATTAATATATTAATATATTAATAACTATATTAATATACCATTATATTAATATTGCATTGCATTATTTCATTCCTATTAATAGGAAAGATTCAGTTGCTGCTTTGGTGCTGAGCAGGGCTGCAGCCACAGCAGCTGCAGATGTGCAGAGGGACCTGCTGGAGGAAACAGCTGGAGGGGGGGGGTTCCAGGGCTGCCTGGCGCTCAGCTGCTGCGAGTAACGGCCGGGGCAGAGCTGAGCAGGTCAATGCCAGGAGCCCCCGGAGGATCCCCCCACGGGATGACCAGGCGGCGCCCCGGGAGAAGCGGCCGGAGGGAGGGAGGAGGGGCGGGTGGGGGAGCGCAGGACGGCGGAAGCCTCCCCCGCGCCCCCCCCTCCTGCCTTCAAAGGAGCCCCGACAAAGGCAGGAAACGGCCGAGGAAATGCCAGCTGTTGGAAAGGACACACGTGCACACGGGCACACTCAACGCGCACTCACACACTCAACACGCGCACACACACTCAACTCACACTCACACACTCAATACACGTGCAGCGCGGAACTTGGAGCCCTCCTCCCCCTCCTCCTCCTCCTCTCCACGACGGGAGGCAGGGAAGCGCTTCCAAATTTGGGCCAGTCCGCAGTTGTGAGTCAGACAATCCTCGCGTACACAACGGAGGGGGAGGGAGGGGGAGGGGGGACCCCAATCGGCCCCGCCACAGACCTCGCCCTGAAAGCGAAAGTTGGGAAAAGCCCCGCAGGACTCGGGATTCGAAGCGGTCCCCTCCAGGGGGGGGGGCACAAAAGGACCCCTCCTCACGCTCCCCCCACCGCGCCAAGACAAACTTGTGTGTGTGTGTGTGGGGGGGTCCTGGCTGGTTCTGCCAAGCTGCTCAGCAGCCCCGCGGCTCTCCGGTTGGCAGGTGACCCACGCGGGGTCCTGGCTGCCAGACGCCCCCCTCGCCCCTCCCGCAAGTCCCCCCCCCCAAAATTGCAAGCCAGCTTTTGAATTGGGAGCCGGTCTACTCGCGAGCAACGAGGCTTCTCCTCTCTGCCAGAGAGGGTCCAGGACTAATATTGGGAGACCCCCCTCCGCCCCTCACGCGGAGCCTCTCTCCGCTTTCCCAGGTGCCGACAGGTGTCCTGAGGACTAGCAGCTTGACTTGTCCTTTGGCTCCCTGGAGACAAGTGGAAAGCGCGGCAAATTGCCCCCAACTCTCCCTGGGGACTCGGGGAAAGACCCTCCCCCTTCCAGATTCCCTCTTTTCTTCCCCGCAGGCTCTCGGGCGCCCCTTCCCCTTTCCCCGCCCTAGAGCATGTGCAGAGTTCCTCCGGCTGGGCTGGGCGGGGGTGTGTGCGTGTGGAATCGGGCTGCCCATCCCTGCCACCCACTCGACTTGCCTGGGCGCTGGGCTCCGCTCCGGAGGGCGGCGGTGGGCGGTGGGCTCCCCTTCGGCCGGCGCCCCTCGAGCAGCTCCGGCTGCGGACGAGCGAGGAGGGAAGGCGGGCGGGCGGGCGCGCCCCTTCCCTTCTGGCGGGAGCCTTGGCGTGAGTCAGGGCCGAGGGATGCGCTCCAGCGTTTCCCGAGCGGAGCCGCGCCGCTTCCAATCTGGAGCTGGCCCGGGGCGGGCGGGGGAGGGACCCTCGGATCGGGGAGTGGTCCGCCTTTCGCCCTCCCCGGAGCCCGCCCGGGGCAGAGCGGGGGTGGTGGGGGGCGGTGGGGGAACCCCGCGCTTCTCTTCCCGCACCCTCGGGGGTCTCCGCTCCCTCTTTGGGTGGGCTGAGGGTGCAAGGGAGGCGCTGGGAGGGGTCGTGCCCCCGAAGTCCCACCGACCCCCGAGTGGGCTGATGGCTTCTGCGGGTGGGTGGGTGG